ATCGCCGAGCAAGGACTGCACCTCGGACCTAGGCCGCTTGATGCTGTGGCAGCTGGCTTGACGACGCTGTTCTCGAGCGTTGACATCACAGGGTTATCGCTCTGGCATGTTCGTCATGGCTGCGGTACGGCACGGTACTGCAACAGGACACGCGGCAACGGTAATTCCGTGACGTGTTCAATTAGCGCGTTTTGTTTTAGCAGTGCGCAGCCAATGATTTTACGCACACAGTTAGGAGATCAAGAGCTAGTTGACGACGAATCTAGAAAGTTGTTGAATCGTGATGGTGAGTTCGTAATTCATGATTGCGGCTCGCTTCAGGGCAGGGTCAGTGGCACCCATGGGCAGCAGGGAAGGTTATGCAGCCCAACAGCGGCTGCCAGATGCCCATGGTGCCGCAGCAGGGAGGCTTTCAGGCGCGTTGGGCAGACGAGGAATTTATGAGGTAGTTACGCGTTTGCAAGTCATCAAGTGATCTATAGACGAAGGCAGCGGTGGTGGGGATATCGGAGGGGACACCTTAGAACATGCATTCCGATGACATCCCCGAGACGTTTTTCGTCATGGCGTTCCCTTCTGCTCAGTTTTGGGGTCTCGATGTCGCCATTTTAGGTTACCCAGAGTGGGGTTGCGTTTGCGGCAAGGCCATGGCGATGGATGCGATGGCGGCCAACGACCACACGAGAAAGACAGAATATTGCGCCTTAGGTGATGGTGGCGACGACGAAGGCGATGTTGGGTCACGAGTTTGCTGATTGCCACGATGGCAACGAAGGTGGTGGCGACGGTGATCAGGCTAATGTTGGCACTGATGACAATGATGTCAGGAAATATTGTGGGATGGCTGACGATGGTGGACATGGGGCCGATGATGGCAACGATTGTTGCAATGGTGTTGGTGACGATGATACTAACATGGATGATCGCCTTCGCGCTTCTGAGCAATCAGTTCTGGACATGTCGCCATCACTTCCCATGCCAGGTGATCGCTACGTTTCCCATTTGCCGAGGAGGCCAACGAAATTGACGGGATGAGGGGGCCGATTGCCCAGAAGAAGTGGTTGTAGGAGCATTGCTTGATGTTTGACGTTGGATTGTGATTCTGGTGTAGATGCAAGTGCGCCTTTCTGGAGTGCGAAGACCACGCTGGCAACTGCTGCGGTGGTGATACGATTTGGGGTTCTGTGGCGGAATAGGGATGGCGGCGGAAGCGTTGCCGCCAGGCTGCGAGGATGTATGGCGGCCGTGCGTGGGAAACGGGGAGTAATTCGCAATATGTATCCATCTGCGCTGCCGCGCATAGTCGCCATCGCGCCTGGGAAACTGCGCACCAATGCTGTGGCGCGACACGGCTGCAGCATGTTTTGTTCGTTGTTGCCTCGTGCCCCCTCAGAGTCTCTCCAGAGCCCTTGTGTTGTGAGCCTCTGGGGGCATCTTTGGGGGACTCTTTGGGGGCCTCCTGGCAGTATTCGGGGCGTTCTTGGGGCCTTTCTTGGGGTTTCCCGGGGCCGTGAGGGATGGGATCCCGCGGCCGCATGTAGAGAGTCCTGGAGCAGGTTGGGGGGAGTCTGGGGGCCATCTTCGGCCGTCCTCGGGCCTGCCTTTTTGGGGCGGTCCTCCCCCCGATTCAAAAGTATGCAAGTCCTGCCCCCTAGACTAGTGGGGGCACGGAGGAGTGGGCTTCTGGGCCTAGAGCGCCCCGAAGCGCCCGAAGGATTCGATTGTCGACGACGATGACGACGACGACGAAAGTTGCATTAATCGCGGAAGGCCATTCCAACCCCCCCCAGATACCCCGCCCGTTCCATTTGCAGTTGGTTGTGGGCCCTCGTGGCCGTCTGGGGTGGCCTCCTAGATTATTGGGGCGCCATCAGCGAAAGCCGCAAGGACTTCCGGGGGCTTGCAGGGGGGAGCTTGAGGACGTCAGGATTGAAGAGATCTGTCCGCGCCCATGCCTCAGAGTCGGTCTCCAGACACGTCCTGGGGTGCGATCTGAGCAGACTTTCGAGGCGAATTCGCACATCCAAACAAGATCAAACACTCCTCGATCCTCGTCCTGGGAGGCCCCGCAGATGGGCGGCTACCAGCAGTACGGCGGCGTGCAGCAGCAGCCTATGCAGCAGCCCATGCAGCAGAGCAACGGCTCCTCGCTGGGGGGGCCGGCTGCCAGCAACGTCTTTCCGGCGTCATTCCAACCCCACCCAGAGGATCGAGCACCTCCACCAAATAGATTTGCCCTCCGTTCTAGAGGATTTGTTTTTCCATTCTGGAGGTTTTTCCCTTCCAGACTGGTGTTTTTCCCCCTCCAGAATGGAGGACATTCCAGATGATGGCTGTCGATCCTCTGGGCAGATCCTGGGGTGCAGGAGGAGGAGGAGGAAGAGGAGGAGGAGGGGGAGGAGGAGGAGGAGGAGGAGGAGGAGGAGGAGGGAGGGAGCCTGAATGGACTCTGATGAAGCGGACCGTTCGATGACCCATCGCACGCTGGCGAAAAAGATGAGATTAGCATGTGTTGTATTCCTCTTCCTCGTCGTCGTCGTCGTCCTCCTCCTGGTCCCTACTCCGTTGGTGATTGCCGATCGTCCAGAGTGCAGGAGGCCGCACGTCCGCTGCCATTCAGGCCCTTCAGTTTGCGCTAGAGGGGCCTTCCGCCAAGGCATGCCGTGGGGGCTGGACGGCTTGGCGCGCGACCTGACCCAGGCCGCGACCACCGCGCTGGTGGTGCAGTCGGGCGTGCCGTCGTGCCCCGACTGCGTCTGCGCCCCCACGCTGAATTGCCCGCCGCTGACCTGCTCCTGCCCCGTCGGCGAGGGCCAGGTCAGCCCGACCGCCGCGGAGGGGTACTCGGCGGCGGAGCTGGCGGTGGTCGCCAGCGTCTGCCTCCTCCTGGGAGCTGCTGCGGGCGCCGCGGGCGCCCTCGGGGCGGCGCGCCCCTGGGCGCGGCCGCCCGCCTGGATGCCGGGCTCGTCGCCGGCGCCTGCGCCTCCGGCCCCGCCGGTGGCGGCGCCGGCTGTGGCGACGCCAGTGGCGGCGGCAGCGCCTGCGCTGGCCGCCCAACCGATTGAGGACGTGCAGGCGCTGGCCGCGGCGCAGGCGAGGGCTTTCCGTCGGCCGTTCGCTCTGGGGCACTGATGGCGGCCGCCATCGTGCCAGGGAGCTTCTTCCTCACTCGGTACAACGTGGGTGGCGTCGCGGTATATCACGAGCGGCTGCTCCTGTACGCAACGGGCTACGTGCTGACACCGGACATGGACGACTACGGTGAGAGCGTGGCGCCGGGCGCGGACATTCTCAGCGTCCACCAGATCGCCGGGCAAGGCGGACGGGTCGGCGGGATCGCGGAGGCCCAGACCTACCGCTTCCGCCGGCTGCCGACCCAGGCGGAGCTGTGGGCGGCGCTGCGCCTCGGAGCCGCCGCAGGCTTCGGAGGGCTTCCAGCGTCCCCTTTCGGGCTCGACCTCTCGGCCGCCAACTGTGGGGGACAGCCTGCAGGGCCGATGGAGGTCGCCGACCCGCACGGGGCCCTAGCCCCCGCGCCCCCGGCGGGCGGTGCTCTGGTCGGGGCCGTGGGCCCGCCGCCTGCTGCGCCCGCGGCGGCGCCCGGAGCGGCAGCCGCCCCGCCAGCGGCCGCTGTGGCCGCTGGCCCGGCCGTGCCGGGGGAAGCGGCAGCGGCGGCCCCTGGGCGGGCCCCGGCGGTGCCCGACACCGTCCCCGTCGCGCCGCTGCCGACCGGGGCCGCGGCGCCGGGCTGGGTCTGGGTGGCCGCGGAGGACGTCGACGGGCTCGTGGCGTTCGGTGAGGCCCTCGAGGTGGGCGTCGCCGGCGGCGTGATTCTGGCCGGGCGAGTTGGCCGCTGGGGCCTCTTCACGCTCCCCACGGGCGGCGGTGCCTCCGGGGTGCTGCTGCAGGAGAATGAGGTGGCCTACTTCAAGCGGGAGTACCGCGGCAACGACGCCCGGACGCTGGAGCTCCCAGCCGCCTCGGTTGCGGCGAGCGAGGCAGCCCGCGACTGGCGCGAGGTGGTGCAGCTGTGCCACAAGGAGGACATCGCCAACTTCGCTGTACCTGGGCCGCGCACGGCTGCGTGGTGTGCCAGGTACCAGGTCAAGGAGGGCGGACCGTGTCTCCACTACGACATGTGGAAAAGCCGCAGGAAGCTCACGTCCACGGACTACGGCGTGGACATGCATGAGACCCTCTCGCGCATGGTAGAGGCCATGGGAGCGTCGGACCACCTCGACGTCTTCAACCTGGCGAGCGCGGAGATATGCCACCGCAAGCTGCAGCTGATCGAACACTACTGGGACGACAGGGGCGCCGAGCAGCAGCAGAACAACAGCAAGATCCCCTTGGAGGAGAGCCAGGCCTTCATGGGCGGGGCTCGGGCGCCCTCGATGGCGCGCCCGGAGCTGCTCGAGACGGTCTCGAAAGAGCTGGAGCGCATCTCTAGCATCAAGAAGAACGCCAGGAAGCTCAGGGAGGAGCAGGCCGCCGCCGCCAAGGGGAAGGCCGCTCCTCCCAAGGGATCACGATGCTGGGACCGCCGCCGGGATTGCCTCGGCCCGGCGGCGGAACTTCGGAGAGGTTGGTGGACGGCGACGGACGCGTGCAGCGGTCGCTTCTGCCTTTGCCAGTCTCTGCCTGGTGCGGCGCCCCCGGCGGCCCCTCGCGGCCCCGCTCTGCGCGCCGCCGGCGCGGGCATCGAGCGCAGCAGGGCGAGCTCCTCGCCGAGCTCGTGGTGGCGCTCAACCAGCTGGATGCCGGCTCTGACCTCGCTCGCAGGCAGTGCGAGGGCGAGCCCAGCAGGATGCAGCAGCTATGCTTGGAGCGACTCGCCGAAAGCTGCGCGGCGATGGGCGCTCCGCCGTCTGACTTGTCGATCGAGGTGGCCCTCTGGGAGCTCCAGGTCGGCGCCGCCTACGGGGGCTGCGACCCCGTCACGGCGGCCCCCTTCGTGCACGACCTCGTCTCCTTGCCGGCTGTCGGTGGCGCCCCGGTGCCGCTGGACCAGCTGCTCGGGAAGGGCGGTCCAGAAATCGCGCGGAGGTTTATCTCTACCAAGGCGTTGTCAATCTTAACGCCGCAGAGGCAAAGAGGGGCTCGGGTTTTGCACGGCCGTACCTGGATCCAGTTCTTCGTCGGCGCGAGGACTACCTCGCCTTCGCCCGCCGGATGGGGGGGGCCAACATGCTGGATTCCAGGCTCGACGGCGACGACTTTGAAGAAGTCGGGCTTTTTACAGTTTGGAAGAAGGACGGTCGCCAACGCCTGGTGATCGATTGCAGGGGATCGAACTTACATTTTGCCGAGCTTAGCAAGACCGGCCTCGCCAGCGGGGCCAGCTTCAGTGCCATTGAGCTGCAGGAGGGCGAGCAGTTGTGGACCGGAGGCGTGGACATCGCCGACGCGTTCTACAACGTGGGCTTGCCGAGCGATCTACGACGTTTCTTTGCTCTTCCTCGATTGCGCGCAGGCGACCTTGGGCTCGAGAGCGTCGAGGGCCAGCGCGTCCTGAGCCGAGCCTGGGTCCGCCCGTGCTTGGCGGTGCTGCCGATGGGCTGGTCGCACGCGCTCGACTTCTGCCAGAGGGTGCACCGGGCGATAGTGCTGGGAAAGGGGGGCCCCCCTGGGACAGCTGAAATCGCCGACGGGCGGCCGCCTGCGGAGGTGAGTGAGGGGGCTTTCGCGGCCTACGTGGACAATTTCGTCGCCTACGGCACGGGGCCCGAGAGGCCTGCGGACATGCTGGACGCGGCTCGGAAAGCCGCGGAGGGCGCGGGGCCCCCGGTGCACCCGACCGAGCCCCCCGCCACCGTCTCGGAGCAGTTGGGCTGGGTCTTCGACGGGGAGCGAGGGGCCTTGCGCCCCAAGAGCCGCCGTGTCTGGAGATTGAGGCTGGGGCTTCTGGAACTCTTGAAGAAGGGGTACGCCACGGGCCGCCAAGTCGGGAAAGTCGCTGGACACTATGCCTTCATCGTCCTCGCTCAGAGGCTTATGCTTTCAGTCTTCAACGCTGTCTACAGCTTCTCCCGGAAGTATTTCTCGCGAGTCATGAAACTCCCGCCATCGGTTCGACGTGAACTTCAATGGGCCGCTGCTCTCCCCCCTCTTGCCTGCGCCCTGGGGCTCCAAGGTGCACGCGAGCGACGCGAGCGAGGGGGGGGGGGGGTCTGCCAGAAGGAGGCCGACGTCGCGATCATCAGGGCCGCGGGTCGTGACGAGGAGAGGTGGAGGTTTCGTCGTCCTGGAGTTTCTCGGCCTCGCGACTGTCTCGGCGGGCCCCGGGGCCCCGTGGAGGAGCCGGAGATCGTAGAGGGCGAGAGGTGGAAGGTGCAGGAGGTATCGAGCGAGCTGCACGGGGGCAGGCGGCAGGTGGCATCAAGTGGAGGATGGGCCCGGGCCGAGAACATCGTCGCCCTGGAGGGTCGGGCCATCGTTCGCTCGCTTCGACACGCACTTCGAGATTCGAAATCCTTTGGTCGGCGTCTCCTTTTCCTGTCCGACAACATGGGGCTCGCATGCGATTTGCAGAAGGGGCGCTCCTCCGCCGGGGAGGTCCTTCGCATCGCCCGTCGATGGGCTGCCCGGTTCCTGGCGGCCGGCGTGCGGGCCTCTGTTCGCTGGATCCCGTCCGAGCGGAGCGTCGCGGATGCGCCGTCGCGCCGCCGCATCCCCCTCGGCGCGTGGCTTGACGGGCCCGAGGACGGCGCTGAGCCGGACCTCGCCTGCTGGGGCGTCGGGGGCGGGAGCCGCCGCAGCCAGCTCGCCGACTCTGTGGCAGCGGGGGCAGAGCTCGACGAGCTGACCGCCCGCGGCGCCGCCAGCGGCCCCCTTCCGGGGTGCCCGGCGGGCTCTGAAGGCTGCGGGGCAAGCAGCCAGCCGACGGGGGCGCTCCGCTTCCGTCGGGGCCGCGCCGGCTTCGCCGCGGCGCCAGCTGGCGCCGCGCCGGCACCGCGCGGGCCTAGGCCCGCGCGGTGCCGGCGCGGAGCGCTGCCCGCGCGGCGCGCCGGCAGGCGCAGGCTGCGCCCCTGGTCGCGGGGGCGACGTTGCTGCAGGGCGCCTCGGTGACGCCGAAGACGGTCGCGCAGTACGACACACTGTGGCAGGACATCCTCCGGGCGTGGCGGGGGGCTGCACTCGTGATGGGCTCCGCCCGAGTGCCGAGCGACGACGACATGGGCGGCCTCCTCGCGAGCTGGATGGACCGCGAGTTCCTCGCCGGCGAGCTCTCGCAGCGCGGGGCCAAGGCGATGGCCGCGGTGAAGTTCTTCCGGCCGCAGTGCAGGCCGCACGGGCTGCCTGTCCCTGCCGAAGGCGGCACGGGCCTTGAAGGGGTGGAAGCGCTTCGCCCCAGGGCGGGCGCGGCTCCCGCTCCCCTGGGAGGTCGTGTCGCTGATCGCGCTGGAGCTGATCGCCGCGGGCTTCTGGGCGATGGCCGCCTGGGTGGTCATCGCGTTCCACTGCTACCTCCAGCCCAGCGAGCTGGGGCGGGCCACGCCGGAGATGATCATCGCGCCCGCGCCGGGCACGCACGTCTCCAGCTGGGCCATCGTTCTGCGCCCGTCCGAGGAGGAGGTGAGCGGCAAGACGAGGGAGTTCGACGAGACCGTTGTGTTCGACCTCGCGGAGCTCGGCTTCCTCAACAGCGTGCTCGCTTTCCTCGAGAGGAGCACGCCGCCGTGGCAGCCGGTCTTCGGCTTCCTACACGCGGACCTCGTCCGCAACTTCAGGCTCGCGGCCGCGAGCGCCGGCGTCGACTGCCTGGGCCCGGAGTTGCACATGCTGCGGCACAGCGGGCCGAGCCACGACCGGGCGCGGCAGCTGCGGACTCTGCAGGAGATCATGCTGCGCGGCCGGTGGCACTGCGACTCGAGCGTGCGCAGGTACCAGACGGAGGGCCGCGTGGGGGAGCAGCTGCAGAGGCTGCCGGCTGCCGTCCGCGCGCGGGCCATCGGCTCGGCGGCGGCCCTCCCGGCGGCCCTCGCGAGGCCGTAGCTCGCACCCTGGCCTCCAGAGGTGCCCGCCTCGTCCAGCCGCAGGTGTTTCTAGAGCTTTTCAGTGGGCATGGAGGCCTGTCTCGCGCGCTGCGGGCGCGAGGCTTTCTTGTGCTAGAGTGGGGCCGAGCGCGTGGGCCTCAATGGGATCTGGCGAGGCAGGCAAATCAGAAACTTGTGAGTGGCTGGATATTGGCAGGTCTCGCGCGGGGCGTGTTCATGGGCACGCCGTGTCAGACTTGGACCAGGGCGCGGGACACCGGGCCCCTTCGTGATCCTGACAACCCTCGACCTTGCCTACCATCTCGTCTGCGCAGTGATCAGGAGTTGATGGGTTTGCGTGACCTCCGGCATCCAGGCGATCTGGAAGCAGTTGAGAATAGGCAACCTGTTTGCCGCTTTTTGCTGTAGCATTCTGGAGCTGATGCACTTTTTGACTCTGCCTGTCGCCATAGAGAATCCTGCTCGCTCTCGCTTATGGCTCCTCCCTCGCCTTTTGAAGGCCAGCAGCTGGCCATCCTCGTCTTCCATCATTACAGATATTTGCCAGTGGGGAACGCCTTGGAAGAAACCCACTGGCGTTCTCGGGGATCGAGTCGAGCTCACCGATATCGCGCGTCGATGTCGTGGAAAAGTACGCAGTCGCACAGGGAAGCCTCACACGTCAATTCACGGGTTAGCGGCCGCGGGAGGCTTTAAAACAAAAGCCGCGGAACGCTACCCGCCTCGTTTCTGCAGTGCACTCGCGGCCGCCTTTGACCAGGCCCACGGGTGCTCCAAGACAGGCCGGCTCTCTCCCCTCCTCACTCCGAAGTAGGCCCCTGTGTAGTCGACTCGTGGCTCTGTTGCTTTGCTTTCCCCTGCGGTAATTCCTGGGTTTTGTTTTCGAGAGGACCAACTGGAAAGTTTGGCAAGGTTGCGTGTCTTGAGCCCTCGTATCAGGCTTGATTGTGTCACTGTGTCCGGCTCATCCGGACCCAGTGTGATTGTGGCCAGAGCCGGCGCTGCCTTGCCGAAGCTCGCTCCGTCCTTGCGGCGCGGAGATAAACTGGCCTCAGCAGCGGCGGCGGCAGGAATGGTCCCTACTCCGCTGGTGATTGCCGATCGCTCAGAGTGCAGGAGGCCGCGCGTCCGCTGCCATTCAGGCCCTTCAGTTTGCGCTCCCAGTCCCCCCCCACCCGCGCGTGTCTTGAGCCCTCGTCTCAGGCTTGATTGTGTCACTCTGTCCGGCTCATCCGGACCCAGTGTGATTGTGGCCAGAGCCGGTGCTGCCTTGCCGAAGCTCGCTCCGTCCTTGCGGCGCGGAGATAAACTGGCCCTCCTCCTCCTCCTCCTCCTCCTCCTCCTCCTCCTCCCCCTCCCCCTCTTCCTCCTCCCAAAGAATGCAAACCCCTTGACGCTGGCGCTGGTCGAGTTTCATTCAAGCAGCGTCTCTGAGGAGCCGGAGCCACGCAGCTTGGCGACGCGGGTGCGGAACTCCGCTGCACTTAGGCCCGCCCGAGACACAGGCCCCGGCAGCTTCGCCGTCCACTCGACAGTAAGGGGCCCGAAGCAGCTTTCAATTCTTCCGAAGGAGCGACGGCTGGGCCGATCGATGGCGGCTTGCCTCGTCGAACTGCGGCCAGCAAGCAGGCCGCGCCTTCAACGAGACCGCTGCGTTTTGAGCCCCTGGCGCTGAGGCTCGAGACAGCGAGAGAAAAGGCCTCCGCGAGCTTTCTGGGCACGGAGGCCCAGAAAGTCTGCAGAGCAGAAAGGCCGAGAGCGTTTCCCCGCTTCGGCCTGAACCTGAACCACAGGGTGTCCTCACGTGGCCAAAGGCAACCCCTCCGAGCCCATGAATCCCTGGGAAGGAGGAGGAGCAGGAGGAGCCACAGGAAGTCCCTCATCACCCTCGCCCTTGGAACACCTCTGAAAGGATCTCAAACCCGTAGCGCTCACCTATGCTCTTTTGCGCCGCATAGTGCAGTCCCTGGCCAGGAAGATCGAGGCTCGAGGATCGATGATTCGGGATTTGGTCCCGGCGTCGGGGCCCGCGGGGCCGTCAGACGACGATTTTGGATGAGAAGGCGGCCCCGCGGGCGCGGGAGGGGTCGAGAGATTTTGGGGCCCACGCCATGACTTAATTTAATCGTGGCGCCAGAGGGCAGGACATCCGCTGGTCGTCCCAGGCCCGTGATTAGCAGAGCCTCTGATCTGACTTTGCTTGGATCGGTTTCGTGTTTCAAGGGTCGAAGGGCATTACTATTCCCTCTTGGCTTGGGGGCGGCCCAGGACCCAACAGTATCTGAATGCGATTTTGCGCCAGATGTTTCCATCTGCAGGTTAACACCTTGCCGACGCGGCGGCGACGCCAGCGCAGGCGTTACAAGTTGAAGGCCACCAGCGGCTTGAGCTGGGCCAGTACTGTACGATCTCGGCCCCCAGAAGACGGCGATCGCTTGCAAATTAACGATCCACGCGGTGTCGCGGACCAGCGCCCACGCTGTCGCGACGCGAGCTTGCCGTTCAGTCGCAAGTTTTGGGCGAGGTTTCGGAAGGGGCTCGATGTTTCTCTGGCCCCTGCGTGGCTTTCCTTTGGCGCTGTTCGTGCCGCGCGAAGCGAAACTGAGGCGCAAAGGGGCTTCGTTCCTTGTCCGAAGTTCATGTATGGTAGCACTTTGTCTGGTAGCTCTTTGGCTGTGCCTCTTCCGACCGACGCGCGTCCCCCCTTGGGCTTTTCTGTCGGCTTACTCAGGCCCCTCTGGCATCCCAACGCACCCCGACCGGGCAACTCCTCGTCTTTGCATCCCCTGCCTTTGAAGCGTGATGCCGCCCAGCCGTGGCGCGGGGTGGGTGGGGGCAAGAGTGCGCATATTGCCGAGCGCGGCCTGAAACCTTCTCGCAACGGTGCCCTCTAGAAGCGACTCAGCTTGCGCCGAGGCGGGCGCGGAGCTGCTGGCGCACTCCGCGCGGGCGCTCACAGAGGCCAACCCAGAGTTAGTCCTGGTGGCACTCGACGCCAAAAGCGCTTGCGGCACAGTGTGCCGCGAGGGCTGCGTGGGCGAGCTGGCGGCCACGGCGCCATGCCTCCTCCTTTCTGCAGACTGCTTGCGCCGCCGACGCTCCTTGTGTAATTTCTGGGACAGCAGCGGCCCCTGCCGCCGCTGGCTCTCGGCGGACGGCGTCGACCAGGGGCGCCCGCTGGCGCTGCTACTTCTCGCCGGGCTCGCGAGAGCTACGAGGGGCGCTGCGGGGGGCCGCAGCCGCCCAGGGGCTGCGGGTCAACGACGTCCACGTCTTGCCCCACCTGGGCGACGTCGTCGCGCTTGCGATCGCCGCCCTGGCAAGAGAAATCCAGGCGGCCGCGCGGGCTGCCATCGGGCGCCTCGGGCTCGAGCTCCAGCCGCAGAAGACGCAGGCTTGGTCTGCGAGCGCGCCCTGCCCGCCCGGGCTGGAGGCGAGCTGGCGCCAGGAGGGCCCGTCGCTGCTGGGCGTCCCGCTGGGCGAGGCGCCTCCGCAGAGCGGCTTGTCGGGCGAGAGCGACGGGCGCCGGCTGCGCCTGGGCTGCCCTGGCCACGCGGCGGCGCGCTGCGCGGAGGCGGCTGAGAGAGCGGCGGCGCTGTTGCGGAAGCTCGCCCAGCTACCGGCGCAGGCCTCGCCCCACTTCCCGGCGGCGCAACCGGCGGGCCCCCTCCTCTTCTGGATGTGCGGCGCGGGCAAGCTCATGCACCAGTTCCGCTCCAGCCCGCCGGCCGACTCCCAGGCCGCTGCAGCCTCTTGCGACGAGGCCGCGATCGGGGCGCGCCGGGAACTCGCGCGCCTCGATTCTCTGCAGGCCGACCAGCGGACGCAGCGCCGCTTGCCGCTGCGGCTGGGCGGCCGGGGCTTCGGAGCCAGGCGGCGCCGGCGCGCTGCTTGGGCGGTTTCCTGGGGGCAGTGCCTGGCCGAGGCCCTGGCGCGAACGGGTTGGCGGGGCTGGCCGACCTGGAGACCTCCGCGCTGCCGCTGGCGGCCGCCTGCTGGACAGCGTTGGCCGAGCTGTTCCAGGCGATCGTAAGCGCGGATCAAGGGGGCGTGGATTAGCGACGGGCCCTGTTGTCACGGGAAATCGCTCGTGGATATCCGCCGCTGAACGAGGCGGCGCCGGCCGCATTTAAGGGGGGCGCTTCCCCCGATCCGTGGATCTGGCGACCGCGCGCCAAATCCATGGATTGCTAATCCATGTTTGCGCAACCCCGAATGTTGTCTAACGAAGAAGAGGGGCGCTGGCAGCTGCCGCCCAGGGCACTGCTGGCGCAGGAGGTCAGACGTAATTCAAACGGGCGCTCACGTAAATGCTTGTCAAAACAAACTACCCCAGTGCGACCCTACCTAGGAGTTGGAGCATTTAGGAAAGCAGCAGCTACATCTACACCGACAGCTACATGTACATCTACACCTGCATCTACATCTACATCAACACTGCAAGAGTTGCAGGCTGATCAGCACTGCAGGTCCAGCTTTGCGTTGCTTGTGATTTGCTTTGATGTTGTTGCTGTTGGTTTACCTTTACTTTGCTGATATGCTATGCTGCGCTATGCTATGCTATGCTATGGTTTGCTGTGCTGCGCTGTGCTATGCTATGATATGCTAGGGTACGCTCGGCTGCGCTGTGCTATGCTAGGCTATGCTATGTTATGCGATGCTGCGTTATGTTATGCTATGCTATGATATACTGCGCTATGGTATCATATGCTATGATATGCTGCGCTATGCTATGCTCGGATATGCTATGATATGCTCTGCTGCGCTGTGCTATGCGGTGCAATGCAATGCAATGATATGCTGCGCTATGCTATGCTATGCGATGCTGTGTTATGCTATGCTGCGCCGTGCTTTGCTAAGCGATGATATGTTATGATATGCTGCGCTATGCGATGCTATGATTGGCTATGAAATGCTATGCTATGTTATGATTGGCTATGCTGTACTGTGCTAGTGCTGCACTGCGCTATGCTGCGCTAAGCTACGCTAAGGTAAGGTAAACTATGCTAAGCTGAGCTAAGCTACGATAGGCTAGGTTAAGCTAAGCTAAGCTAAGGTAAGCCAAGCTAAGCTAAGCTAAGGTAAGCTAAGATGAGCTAAGCTAAGCTAAGCTAAGCTAAGCTAAGCTAAGTTAAGCTGGGCAAAGCTAAGCTATGCTGAGCTGAGCTAAGCTAAGCTAAGATAGCTAAGCTAAACTAAGCTTAGCTTAGCTCAGCTGGGTGAACCCAGGGGGCGCAACTGGGGGAACCGCGGGGCGGATGCTGGGGGAACCGCCCGGGGCGCTTCCCACTGCGCGGCCCCCTTAAGCCCAGAGGGTAAGAACCCTTCTGGGCAGAGCCCAGGTAGGGAACAGACGCCTTGCTGATCGCTCTCGTAGCTGAGGAACGAGCACGCCTGGCCACCTGGCCAACGAAGGGCCGCACCAGAAACTAGAGGACGCCGACTACTGCTCCTCTGCGCGGGCGCCCCTGGGCCAGGGCGCGGCGCCGGCCTGGGGCTGCTGCCGCAATCGCCGCAAGACGGGCCCGCTGCGGTGCAGCTCTGTGGGCAGGCGCTCTGCTGCAAGGCGTGCCGCGCCTGCCGCTGCTCAAGCGGGGGCGGCCCCAATGCGCGGATCAGAGTTGCCGAGGGCGTGCGGGGGCGCATCTACCCAGAATGCAGCTTCCGCGCGGTCGGGCAGGCCCCTGTTCCCGTTGGGAGGCAACCGTTTGAAGATCCTGAAGCGAGCCCGAAATTATCCCAGTGCGACCCTGCCTAGGAGTTGGAGCATTTAGGAAAGCAACATCTACATCTACACCGACAGCTACATTTACATATACACCTGCATCTACATCTACATCAACATCAACAACGAGACTCACATGCACATATACATCTACACTTATATCTACACCTACATCTACATCTACATTCACACCTATATCCGCATCTACACCTACACCTACATTTACATCTACACTTTCGCATTGGTTTTGCTTTTGCTTTGCATTGTCTTTGCTTGTGCTCTTGTCTTTGATTTTTCCTTGGCCATTGCTTTTGCTTTTGCTGTTGCTTTTGCTTCTGCTTGATTTTGTTGTTGCTGTGCCTGCGCACAGACACACACACACACGCGCATGTTTTCGCATTCGTTCACCGGGTGTGCTTGAGAATGATCCGTATCCGGTCTTCACCGCACGACTCGGCATTGAGCAAGTTTGTGCAACACTTGCTACACACGCTATGCTGCGCTAAGCTAAACTAAGCTAAGATAAGCTGAGCTATGCTAAGCTAGGCTAGGCTAAGCTAAGATAAGCTAAACTAAGCCAAGCCAAGCTAAACTAATGTAAGATGGGATAAGCTAAACTAAGCTAAGCTAAGCTAACTTAGGCGAGGCAAAGCTAAGCTAAGCTACGCTAGGCTAAGATGAGATAAGCTAAGATACGCTGAGCTAAGTTAAGCTTAGCTTCGCTAAGCCTGGTGAACTTAGGGGGCGCAACTGGGGGAACCGCGGGGTGGATACTGGGGGAACCGCCCGGGGCGCTTTCCACTGCCCGGCCCCTTTAAGCCCAGAGAGTAAGAAACCTTCTAGGCAGAGCCTAGGTAGGAAAACATCGGGATTCCAGTGCCACGAATCAACTTGACTGTTGCGTCTCGACGATCCCTTATCGCGCCAGAACATCATTCATGGGATTTCAGCACCGCAAATCAACGTAATTGTTGCGCCCTGACAATCCTGAACCGCTCCAAAAAAGGGGTCTTGGTACGTTGACCATGGGAATCCGCGAAGCCAATGTTTAAGACGGACGTGTGCGGCGCTTAGGCGAGAGCTACATGTTGAAAGGGCCCCGCTTTCAATCCGCAATATTTTCGCATTCTTTAATTCAACGAGTTCGCGCGGTTCCCAGGCGATACTCGCATTTTGAAGACCCGCCCTCAATCCGTGAAGTTCTCGCAAATGTTTAGGACGAGTGCGCGCGCGGCGCTAAAGCGACAACCACATGTTGAAAAGGACCCGCCCTCAATCCGTGAATCGCTTGCGATGTTTTGAACAAATGCGCGCGTCGCCACGTGCGAAAACCACATGCGCATCGGAAACCTTCCGCCCTCCATCGGCGCAGCGGTTGCCAATTCTCAAACTTCAGGATCATGAGTGGTAAGCAAGTATCCGGCGAAATGCGTGGCCCGCATTTCCGACTGGCTTGGGGTTGCGACACGGAGGAGTTAATCATAGGGAAGGAGAATGGAAGATGAGGAGGAGGAAAAGGAGGAGGGAGATGAAGAGGAAGAGGGGGAGGAGGAGGAGGAGGCGGAGAAAGAGAGCCAGAAAAAGGCCAAGTGTTCGAATACCCTTGTGTATAGCACTGTGAACTGATTTGTCTTATGTTTCCTACCCCGAATGGGGCCAGCGGATTCGCGCGTGTACCATAGCCATCAAGGGCTTAGCAGGCGTAGCTATACAAGTTCCCATCATGGTATTGCGGAGCGCGCGTTGAGCCCAATCGCTAGCATCGCCAGCCATGGAGCAAGCGGTGCAACAGTTGCAGCAGCAGCTGCAGGAGGTGAACGGCCAGTTCCAGCAGCATCGTCAGGATTCGCAGGCGCGAGAGCGGGCGCTGGAGAACCAGTTGATTCAAGTGCAACAGCAGTCACTGGGCCAGTTGGCGGCTCAGCAAGCAGAGCTTCTCCAGCTTGTGGACGCCAAGGGAATGGGACGACCTGTTGGCTTCGATGGAGCGGAAGAGAAGTTTGTACCCTGGAAGGTGAAAGTCGGGAACTTCATCACCAGCACGTTCCCTGACTTGAAGCCTGTGTTGGAGTGGGCCGAAGAGCACGCGGGACAGATCGACGAGGCTGACGCCACCGTGGCTTACGGGGACGGGCAGGATCCCGAGTTTGTTCCGGACCTTCGGAACAAGGAAGCTCAAGCGCACATGGTTTTGCAGCAGCTTTGCGACAAGGAGCCGTTCGACATAGTGAGCAACTGTGGTCGAGGCAACGGGCTCGAAACCTGGAGGCGCTTGAACAGGCGCTACGACCCCTCCACCGGCGGCAGGAAGAAGACTCTGCTGAAGAAGCACATCCTCAATCCGTCCCGGGTGACGTTGGATGAGCTGTCCAGGGCCATTGAGAAGTGGACTGACAGCGTCCGCATGTACGAGCGACGAAAGGATAGGAACGGCGAGCGGAGTTCCATCCCAGACGACATTAAGATCTCTGCTTTAGAGGATTTGGTGCCTAAAGAGCTCGAGAAACACATGCTTCTCAACAGCGATCGTTCCGATACTTTCGCTGAAGCCATGGAGGGGACTGGGACTTACCTCGAAACCCGCGCGGGAACGAGGCTGAAGGTTATCGACCACAGTGGCAACAGGAACCCTGACGACATGGATGTCGGGAGCTTTGTCAAGGGCAGGCCAAAGGGCGCGCCGAAAGGAGCCAAAGGCCACGGCAAGGGCAAGGACGACCGGATGCCCGCCCAGACGGGCCCCCAGGGCAACTTCGACAACTGCGGAAAGAAAGGCCGCAAGAAGAAGGACTGCTGGCGCCCCGGCGGGGGCGCGAACTGGCCGGACGCCACAGCCAAGCCCGAGGTTGGGCCGAAGGGCCCCAAGGGCGGCGGCAAAGGCAAGGGCAGCGGCAAAGGCAAGGGCGGCAAGCCCGTCCGCTCCCTGGAAGAGGAGGAACCCGAGGAGGAAGAGGCAGCCGACCAGAGCTACCTCTTCCTGAGCCCGCTGGGCGAGTGCCGTGCCGGCGGCCCCGAGGAACCCGCGCCGGCTGCTTCGCCTGGCGTGGGTCGGCAGGAAGGGGGGCAGAAGCCAGGCGACGGTGCCACCGTGGGGTTGCAGAGAAGCGTCTCCGCGGCGAGCTCGATCCGGATGCGCCGAGACGTGGAGTTGTCCTTCCGCATTGCGTATTCGGACACACCTCGCATGATCAGCGCGGAGATGAAGATGGCCGAGGACGAGGCCACGATTCAGGAATTCTTGCTGGAGAAGGCCGAGATCGAGCACAAGCGCGACTCGATGAAGGCTATGGCGAGGGCGGACGACGACCGGCGGTGCCAGCAGCGCCGCGAGCAACCAGAGAGCTCGAAGGACCCGAGACTGGATCAGAGCCGCCACGACGTCAGGCACCGCAAGGCCTGCGAGAAGGGCGCGCCGCACCACCAGTGTGGCACCGCGAGAAGAAACGCAGGTGGGCTGCCGAGCACAGGAGGCAGGGCACGCCAGAGCGCGCGGCCGAGCGGAAACGGCTCGAGGGCAAGTGGCACGCGGAGTTCGACTCCAAAGCGGTCAAGGAGGAGGGGGAGGAGGAGGAGGAGGAGGAGGAGGAGGAGGAGGAGGAGAAGTAGTAGGAGGAGGAGGAGGAGGAGGAGGAGGAGGAGGAGGACCTGACGACCGACCAGGTGCTAGACGGCATGGGCGGCGAGGTCGTCGCTGCGGCCGTCGACGGGAACCTGCGCGCGCACGGCGGCGACCTGGCGGAGTCAAGCGCCGCCAGCCGCAAGGTGGACGAGTCGGACGTCGTGCTGAAGAAGGAGGATGTCAAGCTCTACGGGCCGCTCTCCAGGAAGGCGATGCTGCCCTTCCGGCAGGAGGGCCCGAACGAGGCCGAGGAGGCCTCTACCAGCAGGCGAAGGAGAAGCTGGACCGACAGCGCAGCGGCGCTGAACTGCCCTCTGCTTTTCGGAGCAGGGCCGCAGGCGCGGGAGACGCACGACAGGAAGCAGCTTGCCAAGGCAAGTGCTGCCAAGCCCTGCTACACCAAGACGTTCAGCGGCAAGTGCTCCCGCGAGAACTGCCCGTTCTCGCGCGACCAGTGCGACAAAGGCAAAGTGTTCAGTGAACACTTCGAACGAGGCAGGTGCAAATGGGGAGACCGCTGCGAGTTGAGCCACGACGACGACCGCAGGAACCAGTTCTTAGACGAGCTGGACGCCAGGCGTCGCCGGAGGCAGGGCGCGCGGGAGGCGGCGGAGGCCGCCGCAAAAGACCAGAGATTTGCCGGAGTACCTTGGCGAGAACAACCAGGCAAAAGCCATCCTCTTCATCGCCATCACCCCACTCCATCATCGCCCTCTCCTTCGGGGCGCTCATCGCGGGGAAAGAGGAGAGGGGGGGGGAGGAAAAGGAAGAGCAGAGCCCGTGTCACCTGAACCCTGGTGCCCCCAAGAAGCACGAGTGGAAAGGAGAGGCTCTGCACTGCAATGGTGTGAAGATGGAGCGCCACGAGATGAATTTCGACACCAGGGCGGCCATCGCGGCTTCCCCGAAAGATTTCGCGACAGGTTTTCCCAAGAGCGACCCGAACGTCAGAAAATACAGGACAGCTAGCGCTGAGGAGATCAGTGACGAAAGCTGCAGGAAGGTGCACGGCGCGGACGCGAACCTCAATCCGTGCTCCCCAGAGCGTCGCGTTGTCGACGCTCACAAAGTCCTTGTTTCTGGTGCAAGGATGCGTGAGCGCAGCGACGCGCGGTTAGGCAGCGACGGCGGTTACGCAATTCCTCGCAAAACCAAGTTTGCAGTCGAAATGCGTCAGTTGTTTTTGAAAAGCTTAGGAAGAGGTGTGGCGAGGAGGAGCTTGTTCCAATCTGCACGCAGAAGGGCGCGTTCGTTTTCGACTACTACCGAGAAGCACCACCAAACATTAAGCAGGATGAGCCCATCAACCCGCTAAAAGACAGCGCTCGGCCCGAGGGCCCAGCGTCGGGAAACGGCCGGCACTCCAAGAGGCAAGGCCGGAGGAGGAGAAGGAGAAAGTAGGGGGAGAACCACGGAACGCCGACGCGCCTAAAGGGCCGGAGGCGCCAACCGAAAGGGAAAGAGAGGAACGCGAGGTTGCCGGGCACGCGGTGCACCGAAACTGGTGTCATCATTGCGTGTCTTCCCGGACAGTAGACAACAATCGCCGGCCAGCTCCTGAGGAGCCGGAAAACGCTGTCCCTACCTTCATGTTGGACTACATATTCATGGGGTAGACTGATGAGGGCACAATGCCAATGTTGGCAGCCAAGGACAAGAAGACAAAACGTCCTCGGTGCACGGTGATCGAAAGGAAGGGCGACGATCCCTTCGCGATCAAGTTCCTGGCGGACGCGACCCGCGAGACTGGGTACAAACGCATCATCTTGAAGTCTGATGATGAAGCGGCCATACTTGCCATAAAGACCAAAGCCCGGGAGAAACTGACGGACGTAGAAGTCGTCATGCAGGAGGCCCCCGCAGGCGATCGCCAAGCAAATCGTGAGATAGAGGTCATGGTGCGCGAATTGAAGCGCACAACCAGTGCCCTGAAGAGTAGCGCCGAAGATAATCTGAAAGTGAAGCTGAAGGACACAGATCCTCTACTCGCTTGGAAACCGAGACGCGCGGCTTTCTTGATGTCGCGATTCCGCGTAGGTGAGGGCGGGGGGGCCCCGTGCGAGCGGGCCACCGGCAAGAGGTGGCGACGTCCCCAAGAACTGTTTTGGGGCGCTTGTTTTTCAGACCGGCGAAAACCAGCAGTCGCAAGCGCGACTTCGAGTCGAAGGTCGCTGTCGGTAGCTACGTTAGCACGCGCGGAAGGAACGCCGACGTTGTGGTCATGACCGAATACAGAGTCGCGAAGGGGACAAGTATCCACAGGAAGCCAGAGCCTGACCGGTGGGACAAAACAGTGTTGTCCATGCTGAAGGGGCTGCCGTGGAGCGCGTGGCCAAAGGAGCGCGAGGTCATGGCAGCGCCCATGCCCATCGAGGTGCCGGACGCTGCGGCGCCCGCCGTCGCAGCTCCACCGGTCCCTGTGGCCTTCAAAGACGTGGCCACAGCTCTGTGCGTTAAGCGTGCCGATATCGACGAGTTCGGCATGTGGCCGGGCTGCAAGGGGCGCCCGTCCTTGGCGACAGGCATGCACCAGCAGGCCCATTCGATCGATAGTCGCGTCCGGACCCAGGAGGAGCCGATGAAGACGGCTGCGGGAGACAGCGCGCTGAGGGGGCGAAAAAGAGGAAAAGGTCCGAAGAGGCTTCTGAACCCGTTGTAGGGGCGAGGCCGAATCCCCTAGAAGGGGAAGCAGCGGCCAACGAGGCGTTAGGAACGCCGACGGCAGTAGAGGAAGAAGGCCTAGGAGGAAGGAAATGAGAGAGGGAAGGGGGGGAAAAGGAAGGAGAGGCGCCGGAAACGCCAATGGCCGTAGACGCGGCCAACGCAGCGGGCGAGGCAGCGGCTCGAGGTTTTTCGCCAGGGGCTGCTGCGCCAAAAGCCCCACGCAAGAAGGAGGCTCTTCAGGCTCAGCAGGACCAGGTCAGAACGAGTCTGATCGCGACGTCGAGATGGGGCAGGCCTTGAACGTCGGTGGCCTGTGCAGTCTGGAAGAGGCGGTGGCCGAGGCGTGCCGCATAGCGAGTTTGAGCATCGGCAAGACTGATGTCTCTAGCATGTGTGGTGTCCTGAGTAGTCTGGGGCATGGCAGCTTTGATGCTCCTGGCATCGTGAATCCCCCTTCCACGTCTGTGAACGGGAACGACGCTCAGTCGGGCATTTTCGGTATGAGGCCAGGTTTCGCGCTGGACAGTGCCGTCTGCGACGTTCCCCAGAGGGAGAGCAAAGCCAAAGTATGGGATTTGTCAGACCACGGGCATGTGATTGAGCTTCAGGCGGCGGTGAAGGAGGAGGATCCATACGTCTTGGTGCTGAGACATCCATTGGGGGCGTTCGCCGGAGTTGTGAGCAGCACTGACGTGCCTGGTGTGGCACGGGCAAAGCGCGCCATGAAGGTGGCGGTTGACTGGTGTCTTGAAAGGCGTGGCCAGGGAAGGCGCTACCTGCTGGAGAGACTAACTGGCATGCCTGGCTGGGCAGAGCAGGAGTTCCAGAGACTGGGCGGTATCCAAAGTGAAGGGTTGAAGTGCCGTGGGCGCATTCGGGGTCGAGCCGAGGGCTCCAACATGCGAAAGAATGCTGCCTGGGTTACTGACTGCGGCCACCTGGCCGAGAACCTCCGGGAAGAGTCTCGGAGGAGGCTGGGTGTAACCTGGCACAGGCGCGTGGACGAGGTCGACGGTGGGCTGGTTGAGACTGAGCGGAAACCTCGGGCGATCCAGGTCGCCATCCTCAGCGCTGCGTTACATGATGCCGAGGAGAAGGGTGAAGCATGCTCTTTTGGGCAGGCTTCGGGCGCCAGGCCCGCGGGGGTATACTTTGACGAAATCACCGGGGCAGAGCTGAAGCCCGAAAAGGTGAGAGAAGCCAGGGAGACCGAACTAGAGTGGATCAGAAAACAGAAGGTTTGCGTCAAGGTCCCCATCAGGCAGCGTTGGGACCGAACGGGCAGATGCCCGATCTGCTTGAAGTGGGTGAGCACGAACAAAGGAGGCGACGCCAACGAACAGTATCGCAGCAGGCTTGTCGTTCGAGAGATTAGAAAGAACGGGAAGAGAGCGCTGCCAGACCACGAGCTGTTCAGTTCGATGCCCCCGCTTGAGTCACTGAAGATGCTGTGCTTTATGCTGACCACACTGAAGGTGAGCAAGGGGCGGAGGAAGAACCTGAAGCTGAAACTGTTCGACATTTCCCGCGCGCACTTTTACGGGGTTGCCAAGCGGGAGGTTTACGTGTCTCTCCCAGGGGGAGACCAACAGGAGGGATATTGTGCGCTCTTGCAGCGCTCAATGTATGGCACGCAAGATGCGTCGGCCATCCGGCAGGACGATTACAGCAGCCTCCTCGAACATAGCGGTTTTAAGCGAGGACGTGCTAGCACGGCGGTGTTCTATAATGCAGCGGAAGATATAAGGATCTTGGTGCATGGTGACGGCTTTGTCGTTTTAGTTGACGGAGACGGACAGCAGAATATAGAAGCACTCCTCCGTGCACGGTACGATCTTACACTGGAAGGGCGCGTCAGTCCAGAGGCCAGCGGCGGCACAGAGATGTGTGTACTGAACAGAACGATCTGGTACAGCAAAGAGAACGGCGTGGTGGAGTACAAAGCAAACCAGCGTCACGCTAAACTAATCATCGAAGTACTAAGACTAGAAAAAGCGAAGGCCGTGACAACGCCAGCCGAAGAGAAAATGACTAGCGCCGTGTCGGCGGTACTGTCGCTGCCGAAGGTGGGTGATGACCGAAAGAGGTTTTGCAGGTCTTTGTTCCTGAGGGCGTCCTATCTAGCACAGGACAGGGCGGACTTGTGCGAGTGCGTCAAGTCGCTTGCTCGAAAGATGGTTGGACCGACCGAAGCCAATTTCGCAGACCTGAAGCGTCTAGGTCGTTACCTGGTGGGCAGACCCCGGGTAGTCTTACGCTCTGAACCGCAGAAGATGTACAAGGACATCACCGTGTACTCAGACTCAGACCACGCAGGGTGTCTTATCACACGAAGGAGCACCACAAGCACAGCCGTGTTCATGGGGAAGCACTGTGTGAAGGCATCGTCAGGACTCCAGAGCACCATCGCTCTCTCGAGTGGTGAGAGCGAGTTCCACGGGATTGTCAAAGCTGCATAAATTGTTTTGCAACTGCAAGCGCTGCGAGCCGATTGGGGCTATAAGGTCCATGTGACGGCGCTCACAGACAGTAGTGCTGTACGTGGCACCTGCGCCTGGCGAGGGCTGGGGAAGCTGAGGCATGTGCAGACCCGCTACTTGTGGGTCTAGGAAAGGGTGGCGCGAAGTGAGATCGATGTGCAACCGGCAGGGACAAAGAACAACATCGCAGATATGTGCACGAAACTTGTCAATGGAGATTCCCTCGCAAAGTTTAAGAAGATGTCGAGCCATTATTTTCTGAGCGGTCGGGCGGCGACAGCAAAGCATCTAGTGAAGGTGTAGGCAGAGTAGCAGCGCACTCGGTTCTGGTCAGCAGAACCTCCCGCGATGAGGAGTGTTCGAATACCCTTTTGTATAGCACTGTGAACTGATTTGTCTTCTGTTTCCTACCCCGAATGGGGTCAGCGGATTCGCACGTGTACCATAGCCATATGGGGCTTAGCAGGCGTAGCTAAAAATGTTCCCATCACCAAGGCATTCTTCTCGAGATATTGAAAGCGGTAGGTCCCCCCAGGCTGATTGCGTTGGGTTGGTACTGCTGCGTTGGATGCTGCGGCTTTCAGCTTGGGGTTCCAAGACGCTGGCAAGAAAGAAGAAGAAGGAACACGAGGATGAGGGGGGATGATGGAAGAGCAGGAGGAAGGACTAAGAAGGATGAGGAGCAAGGAGGAGGACGAGGAGGAGGAGGAAATAAGAAACAGGACAAGGAAGAGGGACGAGGACGTAGACGAGGACGAGGGCGGCGTCGATGACGCGAGCCGCCCCCGCATGCCGGAGGCTTCCACCCGCAGCAGCAGGCCGGCGGCTTCCAGGGCGGCGCCGCCGGCCAGGTGGCCCTCTCCATCGTCGGCGTCGTCGTAGTCAGAGTCGTCGTCGTCGTCGGCGGCGGCGGCATCGTCGTCGTCGCGGCATCGTCGGTGTTGGCGTCGTCGTTGTCGTCGTGATCGTGGTCGTGATCATCGTCGTCATCGTCGTCGTCGGCGTCTTCGTCCTCGGCGGTGGCGGCCTCGGCGGCGTCGTCGTCGGCGGCGGGGTGGGTGCGCAGGAAGGGAGAAAGAAGCGCGATGAGGGGGAGGAGGAGGGGGAGGACGGGAGGAGGGGGAGGAGGAGGTGGGGGAGGGGAGGAGGGCGGAGGGAGGAGGAGGAGGAGGATGGAGTAGGAGGGAGGACGATCGAGGAGGATAGGGGGAATATGGAAGAGCAGGGAAAGGGGCCGAGGCGTTGTCGTCGGCGTCGAGGCTCGGGCACCGATGCTCGATGCTTGGAGGATGGAGTTTTTATGGATCCAGTGGGGCCGGCGTCGGCGTCGTCATCGTCGTCTTCCTCACTCCTCCTCTTCCTCCTCCTCCTCCTCCTCCTCAGCACCAGCACCTGACTGCCGACCGTGCAAAGCTTGGCTTCAGACCCCGAACAGCTTTGCCATCCTACCGAGATGACTGCACATCTCAGCGGTGGAGTTCGCGTACCACACGACCTCAATCACGCCATGCTGGCCATGCTGCCGAAGTGCGAGGAGACCACCGACCAGGTCACTTGCACGATAGCTCCTGATCAGCTACGCCCGCTTGCTATTAAAAACTCGGACATACAAATCGTCGCTTCCGCCGCGAACCACAAGTTGCGATTTCTGGTCAAGTAGTTCTCTAGCTTTCAACGAGGTTTTGTTCTTGGAAGGCAGTTTCTCAACAACATTGTCGCCGCCGACGCCTACAGCCGGCTCTACAGCTTCGACCTGGACGCGACGAATAACCAACCGCATTTCTTTAGCATGGACATCGCTGCTGTTTTTCCAAGCCTTCTACATACCTGGATGTGGGAAGTCCTGTGACAATGGGGAGTGATTGGCAACTTTGAACACCTTCTTCGAGCATTATATTTCGAGCCGAGCGCCGACTTGGAATTTGATGGGCAACGCCGTCCATTATTTTTCGCAGCAAGTAGAGTTGCTCAGGGCTGCCCCTTAAGTAGCACAATGTGGGCGTTGGCCTTCGGTCCAGCATTGCAGGGGATCACGATCCACATTACCACAATTGGGCGTGGCATGGCAAGCGCATGTGCTGATGACATTTGCTGTGATCTCGCTAGACTACTTGACATAGCCGGGCTGCTTCCACACCTTCGTGCCATCGAACTGTGTGCTGGACTTCGCGTGCAACCGCGCACAAATGTGTCCTGGTGCCTGTTTGGCAGTATTTGAATGACGAGCTTTTGGCAGCCATCCAACACACCTTGGGGCTTATTCGTGGTGAATGGGCCTTTTTTAAGATTGCTGGCCAAGCAACGTATCTTGGAGTTTATATTCGACCTGCAGCAGATGACCGCACTCAATTGACAGCACCCGCCAACAAGTGGATGTACTGCCCATGCTACTTGGTGAGTCACACGCGCCTGTTCAACAAAACATCCTGCTCTACAACACTGCTGTCATTATCTGGTTATCTTATGTGGGTCAGCTTTTCCCTGTGCCCAAGATGATATTGAGTAAAGATATTCA